GACCTTTTACCCTTGCCCTCCCATTGACCCCTGTCTTGTGTGCGTTTGCAGGAGAAGACGAGCGCACTCAGTCTGAGCAACGTTGCTGGGGTCTTCTACATCCTGGTCGGCGGACTTGGTTTGGCCATGTTGGTGGCCTTGATTGAGTTCTGTTACAAGTCCCGAGCCGAGGCGAAACGAATGAAGGTGGCAAAGAATGCACAGAATATTAACCCAACTTCCTCGCAGAATTCACAGAATTTTGCAACTTATAAGGAAGGTTACAACGTATATGGGATCGAAAGTGTAAAAATTTAGGGGGTAGGAACGAGGTCTTCATATAAATTCCCCCAATGCACGCTTTTGGCTTCATCTGTCCCATCCCTGAATGTTGAATATTGAATGAAGAGGTTGGCAAAATCAGATCGTATGTATTAGTGCTATGATTTGGTAACGAGAGAAAGACTACCCTGTTTTTAGAGTTGACAGTCTTTTGGTTCATTTTAAGTTTCCTTACTATTTAACATCATGCTCATGTATGACTGTTGATGACCATGCTCCTATCCTACCTGTATGTCCCAGTTACACATTCAGTGATAATGCTTGTGATGATCATGCACATCAAGCTATACATGGGCATTTGCATCCATCATTTTGTTACAGCCATGGAAATCAGTCATATTTGGTTCGCATCTGCATTCTCATATTTGTACATTTAAAATCTTACATTTACTAGGTTGGAGGGGATGACTGGAACTAACCTGGTTTCCTTGTGTGTGTATGTACGTGTGCTGGGAACTGTGTCTGTGTGTGTGTGTGTATATGTGTGTGTTGCTTGTGTGTGTGTTGCTTGTGTGTATGCATGTGTGTGTTTGCTTGTGTGTGTATGTTTGGACATGTGTGGGTGTGTGTGTTAGGTGACCTTCACGGACGGGATGAGGAACAAAGCGAGGCTGTCTATAACGGGGAGTACTGGGGAGAATGGCCGTGTGATGACTCCAGAGTTTCCGAAAGCAGTGCATGCAGTACCTTACGTGAGACCTGGCATGGGAATGAACGTCAGCTTGACGGATCTCTCCTGATCGATAAGAACCTTTCGAGTGCCTTACACTGGTTTCAATAGAGCGGTTTTCATATTTTTCCCCCGCCCCTCTTTCTTCGCACTTTCTTTCTCTCCATCTTCGTTGAATGGGTCGAGGGGCCTCACATTATGGTGGCATGAAGACGTTTCCTTCTTTTCGCTCTCTATTCCTCACTAAACAAAAGACTCTCCCTCTCGATGGAATTTCATCTCAGAATAAAAAGGGAGGTCTTTTTTTGTAACCCGGTGACATCATCATTTACTATCTCTATCTGAGTATTAGGAGGCTTTATTGACTGTAACAGCTGCTAATGGGAGGTCTGTCATCTCAACTGGGGGGAAGTTATTGTTTCTGTAGCCTCCATGCCAACCCCGGGATCCTTCAAGCATACTTGACTTAATTTGCATTGAGATGTGAAATGTCCTTTTTTTTTTTTTTATTGAAGAAAAACGATATGGTAAAAATCTTTTTATGTATTTTCACAAAATGGCTTTTAAATAAACCTGCTTACATACTGGTTGAATATAAACATATTAATATGTGAGTATAGTGAAATAACAATAGCTTAACATCTTCTAGTTCCATATTTAAAAGCCCAATATGTTGCTTACGGGGGTGAAATGTTTAAATCATGTAATTTATTACTATTATAAACTTTCCTGTAAATCTTATTCTTTAACATTTGCTGTTGATATAAAATACTTAGCAATGCTTGACATATGAAATCAATAATTTTCCTATGTCTTTTAAGTGGGTGACACAATTATGTTTATTTTTTATTTTTATGTTATTTGTTTGTTTTGAAGTATTTTGCTGTTGGTATTTCTTTCTGTCAACGATCAGGGTAGTGGTCCAGTCCATGACATCCCACTCTACCGTATTATATGTTTTGCTGTGAGAGGAAAATAAACACACATATGGTCAAAATGGTCGTTTAAAAATGCCAAATAAGTAAAGAGTGCCAAAATGTAGTGCCAGTAGGTATGAATATAGTCCTAATATAATCAGTCACTGTCATCCAAGCGAATGTAATCAATACATTCTGTACGTTTTGTAACAGTTTTATGGCTAAGACTTTTTGTACAGTTTTATGGCTAAGACAGGTATATTTCAACAGCTTTTTTTTCTCTTCAGCTTTCAAGTTAACTCCACGTACTTTGTATTAACCTGAGTGTAAAATAGCACTAGTTGCATGTCGCTGCCTCAAATACATATTATTTAATTTAGTTTTGCTTTTAAAATGTTGACTATATGCCTTTCCATTTTAATGTTGAAGTTGTGAGACTAAATGTTTGAGATTGGAAATAGGATAGTAGACATAATATATATATATTTTATATTTTATATTCCAAGTATAAATAATACCTTCTAAAATTGTACAACCCTTCACTAATTATTATTATTGATTTTTTTTTACAATTACATGAGGTACTTACTAATGTGGATCATTTGGCGGCTACAGATTTTCAATAGCAGTTATTTGTAGGATACGTTTCCAAGCAAATGTTACATTGTTGGATACAACACATCCCCAATAAGCTTTTTTAGGTAGGAGCTTTGAAACAGCTTTTACAGACACGCACCTCTGATTTAGGCACACATGGACGGTTTCAGAAAGACCATTGTTACGTTTGTATTTGAATAACCTGATCTAACATGCGATAACCTCCTTTCACATAATTGTAAAGGGATCAATGTACTATTGGTATCACTTTTTGTGGTAAACAATACAACAGGATGTTATCTAATCAACCTCATCATCACATATCCAGACTACTCTCACTGACATTTTGTATATGGAATGTGTGCTAACTTGTTTATTTTTGGGACTCTTTCTAAATAAAAAGTGGCTAATCTCTTGTTATCATTCTGGGTGTTGTGTCTTAACTTTACCACACTGTCTTATTGGTGTCTTTTGAACTTCTGCTTCTGTCAAGACCATCTAAAACAGTGTACCCAGCAGCATCTCAAATCTTACATACTAACGAAGCATTCTCTGAAAGAGTTAATTGCAGTTGAAGCATTTCAAATGACAACGACTTCAGTAATTACATGCTTTTGTCAGTGAAGAATACAGTCATTTAGGATGCCAGAATGTTCATTGCTTAATTACTTTTTAACTATATAAGTCAAGCAAGCTGATAACGTCACTATTTTAGCCTTTTTGATTAAATACGGCCCAGTCATCTCTTCCATTGTAAAAATGATAACTCAATGGGGTCAGTCGGTCCATAAAGAAGTGGAAAACGCCTTACTGATAAAGAAACTGCGAGAAAAGACAGTCAAATCAAATCAAATCAAATTAAATTTTATTGGCCACATGCGCCGAATACAACAGGTGTAGACATTACAGTGAAAAGCTTACTTACAGCCCTTAACCAACAATGCATTTATTTTGTAATAAAAAAAGTTAAATAAAACAACAACAAAAAAGTGTTGAGAAAAAAAAGAGCAGAAGTAAAATAAAATAACAGTAGGGAGATTATATATACAGGGGGGTACCAGTGCAGAGTCAATGTGTGGGGGCACCGGCTAGTTGAGGTAGTTGAGGTAATATGTACATGTGGGTAGAGCTAAAGTGACTATGCATAAATCATTAACAGAGTAGCAGCAGGGTAAAAAGATGGGGTGGGGATGGGGGTGGGGGGGCAGTGCAAATAGTTTGGGTAGCCATGATTAGCTGTTCAGGAGTCTTATGGCTTGGTGGTAGAAGCTGTTGAGAAGTCTTTTGGACCTAGACTTGGCACTCCGGTACCGCTTGCCGTGCGGTAGCAGAGAGAACAGTCTATGACTAGGGTGGCTGGAGTCAACAATTTTGAGGGCCTTCCTCTGACACCGCCTGGTATAGAGGTCCTGGATGGCAGGAAGCTTGGCCCCAGTGATGTACTGGGCCGTACGCACTACCCTCTGTAGTGCCTTGCGGTCGAAGGCCGAGCAGTTGCCATACCAGGCGGTGATGCAACCAGTCAGGATGCTCTCGATGGTGCAGCTGTAGAATATTTTGAGGATCTGAGGACCCATGCCAAATCTTTTCAGTCTCCTGAGGGGGAATAGGCGTTGTCGTGCCCTCTTAACGACTGTCTTGGTGTGTTTGGACCATGATAGTTTGTTGGTGATGTGGACACCAAGGGACTTGAAGCTCTCAACCTGCTCCACTACAGCCCTGTCGATGAGAATGGGGGCGTGCTCAGTCCTCTTTTTTTTCTTGTAGTCCACAATCATCTCCTTTGTCTTGGTCACGTTGAGGGAGAGGTTGTTGTCCTGGCACCACTCGGCCAGGTCTCTGACCTCCTCCCTATAGGCTGTCTCATCGTTGTCTGTGATCAGGCCTACCACTGTTGTGTCGTCGGCAAACTTAATGATGGTGTTGGAATCGTGCCTGGCCATGCAGTCATGGGTGAACAGGGAGTACAGGAGGGGACTGAGCACGCACCCCTGAGGGGCCCCCGTGTTGAGGATCAGTGTGGCAGATGTGTTGTTACCTACCCTTACCACCTGGGGGCGGCCCATCAGGAAGTTCAGGATCCAGTTGCAGAGGGAGGTGTTTAGTCCCAGGATCCTTAGCTTAGTGATGAGCTTTGAGGGCACTATGGTGTTGAATGCTGAGCTGTAGTCAATGAATAGCATTCTCACATAGGTGTTCCTCTTGTCCAGGTGGGAAAGGGCAGTGTGGAGTGCAATAGAGATTGCATAATCTGTGGTTCTGTTGGGACGGTATGCAAATTGTAGTGGGTCTAGGGTTTCTGGGATAATGGTGTTGATGTGAGCCATGACCAGCCTTTCAAAGCACTTCATGGCTACAGACGTCAGTGCTACGGGTCGGTAGTCATTTAGGCAGGTTATCTTAGTGTCCTTGAGCACGGGGACAATGGTGGTCTGCTTGAAACATGTTGGTATTACAGACTGTTGTTGAAAATGTCAGTGAAGACACTTGCCAGTTGGTCAGCACATGCTCGGAATACACGTCCTGGTAATCCGTCTGGCCCTGCGGCCTTGTGAATGTTGACCTGCTTAAAAGTCTTACTCACATTGGCTACGGAGAGCGTGATCACATAGTCATCCGGAACAGCTGGTGCTCTCATGCATGCTTCACCTTTAAATGGAGAAATAGTCAGCCCTCTGTTTAGTGTTAATGAATTTCACACATCTCCATGACAACGACATGCTGCCTTCTGGTCTTCGGAGATAACCCCTGTATCCCTTCTTCCCATCCAGGTCATTTGTTCATCAGCAAATTCTTGAGACATTCATTTTCCATTTCACCACAGAGTTAATTACATGATATTAAAATCATGTAGCGTCTCTCAGTCTCCATTTAAAGGTGATTAATATAAATTGTACTGTGCGCCCGGGGATTGACAACACATCGTGTCGAACGTAATATTTACAGTTCATATTCTGACTAACTGGATATCAGTGAGCTGGAACTCGAGCTAATATCATGCTGCATAAACACATGCCACAATGTCCTATTATTGCTGGCTCCCAATAATGGAACTCAAATGTTATCAATGTCCGTTGTACATGATGATCTTATGATTTTAGGTTGAGGTAATGAACCCCATTTGAGCAACACACTGATGAGGCTTGATGGAAATTGAGTACATTTTTACTAAAAGGTAGAATATTGACTAAAAGGCAAATACAATATTGGCTAATATGAGCAGTTTGACGTGTCAGAGTCAAATGGATGGAAGGCAAACCTAGGAGGTTTCTTAAGGAAAACTGCTCAAATGTTTCTACTGTACTTTATGTTTCCCATTTCCTAGCTTGATGTATGTACGATGTCTTTCAGTTGGCATGAAATAAAGGAAGATAAATAGCTGGAGGCAAAACAGCTGTAGTCAAAGGCGACTTCCGCATGGCTTGCTACGATCATTCATGTAATTTTTTACAAACTCACAAACACAGCTTTCTGCCCTCAAATCTCAACACCCTTTAAACTTGGCTTGAAAAAGACTGAAGGTTGGCTATTTGAAAGTGAGACAACTTTGTCATTT